AACTCTTCAGCTCCACCTTTGAGAGTCAGTCTTGCTAGGCATGGCATGTTGCTCCAGCAAAGCTCTTCTATTCTACGTTCCTCCCACCCAGCTGTCTGCCTCTCTCAGATCAAAGAGCTGTGAAAGGTGCCACTCCCACATAATTCAGAGCCGAGTATTCTGGGGTTTCCTGAGCAGCAGGTTAGCAACCAGCAACAGATGGAGAAGCTGTGTAATATTGAGTAGAGGTTGCGAGTAGAGGTAGGCAATGAGGCAAGTAGCCAAGTGGGCAGTCTGGGAGATGAGGGCCAAAAAGCAGAGAGAGCTCTTGATGCCAAAATGGAAAGATTTCTACAAACTCGCAGATTTCACAGTTTCTCATTCCCCTTCTCCCCTTTTAACCCATAGCCCATCTTCAAATTCAGCAAACCTCATTTACCCAATTTTCTTAGGTTGTAATGTGCCACCTTTGCCCCCAAGGCTGATTGTCCCTCTAAGGCTGAACTTCAACAACTCTATTGTGTTTTTAAGGAAGAAATCAACATGGTGCAGATGGTATTTCAAACATATTTGTTTCTGTGTCATCTGCTCTGAACATAAATATCAATTCAGTAACTTCACTGTTGTAAGTGATAAGTTGAAACATCATCAGTTGTTTTTTAGTTAAATGACAGTAACAAAATGAAAATCACCATTAAAAAGGCTATATTTGCATATTTTTATGCTGTCAAAGAACATGGAACTAATGTAGCATAAGGAGAATTCTTAAACAGAAACATTACAGTTTTCAAAATCTACAGATCAAAAAATAAATGCTGAAATTTCATTTATAAAAAGAAATGGAACAGTTATTCTACTGGCAGAATAATAAAAGCACTTTCTAGTGATATTTTTAATAGCATATTAATTCAAAATTGTAATTTTGAGGAGTGATTTCATCTACATAAACACTAAATGCATTCTGAATGCTTGGTATTATCATAATGACTAGAAATTAAATTAATAATGCCAAGATAGTTAAAATCTGATGTAACCTTCTCAAATCTTTTGTATCTACATGAATTATTTCTTCCTATTGAACTCTCATCTTGAACTTCATTTGTTGTTTTAATTTTTCAAAGATCTGAACAATTCAATTTTGAGAGTGTTTCACTTTTGAAAATTACCTTCAAAAGGCATTTATAGTAATTTTGGACCCACTAAACATTTTAACAGCTCTAGGTCCTGATTAGTCAGTCAAACACATGTACAAACATACATATAATCATAATGTTGCCAGTAATTGTCTTGCTACACTGCTATATTTTACTGTATTTTACAACCAAGGTGGCACAACTAAATAGTTACTATTTCAATCTTGAATGAATAGAGCGGGAAGGATGTCTTTTCAATCTAAGTTATAATATCTGAGCAAAATTTCATAAAATTAAGATATCTATAACTCGAGGGAAAAGGTTTCTAATCTCATCCTGAAGAAGTGTTTAAAAGTACTACAAAAGGTTTTGGTTAAGAAATTCCTTAGAGAGAGTTCTTCATTTCTTTTCTTCTCTTTCAAATATTCATCAGGATGGTTAGCAAATCTAATCCTGCTGATGGTAGTGCCTTTAATGAGACACAAAGCAGCAGGCAGTCTTGTTTCAACAAGTATGTACTATTTCATAGACTCAAAGTCAAACTTAGAATTTGATTGTCTGATGTATGAGTAACTAGAGTAACTCACAGAGAGTGGGCATTCCCCCCACCCCCAAAATGTAACACCATCCATAACCTTTAACAATATGCTTTGCTCCACCATCTCATCACTTGTCAAGTTTCTGCTATTATTGTGCAGGGCCTCAGATTTCTTTGTTTCCTAGACTATATCACACCTTAAAAAATGATCAGGACATGTAACTGATTCTGAAACACAGCATAAAACAAGGCAGATTGTGCTTCACCCAGGATTTGCCTTCATTGCCAAAATACCCTGCTGCCCAAATAACAGTGTGGTGTAGTCCTTGGCCACAATAGCTATGGTCATTACAGTGCCCAGATGAGATTTTTCAAAGGCCGTGCAAAACAATCACTTTCCCAAAGCTGGTATTTGTGCTCTCAGACTTGGATCCTCATCACCCCTTCCCCTAGGTTGCTCCAAACTAAAATTTCAAGAATGGTACCAAGAATGGAACAAATGAGGAAATGCTAAACCACAAGTTTTACATTCAATTGGAAATTATTTATTCTGAAATTTTCATTGTTATTTAACTAGAAAACTGTAGTGAGATTATATATATATA